ACTCACATCTGGAGGAAAAAATCCTTGGGGATACGTATCTATCCCCTCCCCAGTCCCGGTTCTGGGTGAATTTTTTGCATCTGGGTGAATTTTTTGCCCTCTCTCGGGTTGCGTTGGACGAGGAGGGGGTAGAGGGATGTCACGGCCTAAAAAGCCGGAGCCCCAGCTGCGACGTTCAACAGCTTGATAGGAATTAAAGAAGAAAAAAAGGGAGAGTTTCCCACAAAACCCGAGTGTTTCAAGCACGCTGTTACTCCCCGAGGAACTCATCGTAGGTGTCGGGCAGCTCCTGGAGTGGGTTTGCTTTAATTACGAGCAACTTTTCGCCGCTCTCAGGAGGGGTTTGGACCTGGCGGGACTGGGTTGTCGCTGCTCCCGCGTGGAAAAAGGCACAGGAGAGCCCCTGCCCACGTCGTGTTTGTGCGTTTCTCTCTTTTTTTTCTCCGGCAGGCGTTACCTGGAGCGGTTTCCCTTGTTAAAATCAGGGAAGTCGCAGACTCCAGCCTCTCTGTTCCGCCTCACCGTAAGCTTTGATCAGCGCAGGCGAGGCAGAATCTTCCCAAGGCGAGGGGAAAGTTTTACCCTTGCACCTACCCCACGGCTTGATAAATCCCTCAGCTGAGCGACCGCAGGAAAACAAGGCACTTACGTGACTTACACCAGCTCCTCTGGTCGAGGCTTTCCGCAGCGGTAAACGCTCCGTCCCCCTCGCTGTGTCTACGATCTTTTTGTCTTTCTAGCACGTGTGTTTTTTTGGGGGAACTATTCTTGGTGTCTGCAAACACAGGTTAGACCTGTTGGCATGTTTGCTTGTTTATTTAAAAAAATGGTTTTACGCCTCCCCGCCCCAGTGAAACGGTTGTCTCGTGGTCTCCGCTCGAGGGAATGGATTCTCTGTCCGCGAGCACGTGCGGCTCGTTGCACAAACGCCGCAAGAACCGAGTGTTGAGCAACGTGCCGAGAACGTTAACTTCTGCGAATCGCTCCGGGTGACTGGTTTTGAGTCTCACAGGCTGGGTTTCGCAGGTTGCGTTTCGAACGGACGGCTTTGAAGGAAAAAAAGCGCAGCTAGAAGCGATCCCGTGGCAGCTGGGGTCTAAAGCGCGGGTTGAATGTTTGCTCATGCGAGGATTTCTGTAGGTAGCGCTGCAGAAACCCTGTCTGGGTGCTGTGGCTCCCTTCTTAGTGCATTGTCTCCTGCCTTGTGACAAAGCAACACACTTTTATTTTATATATTTATATTTCTAAAGTGCCTGTCACCATATTGATAAACATTCTTTGGAACCATGCCTTTCCTTTGGTTCCCTCGGCACGTTTAGGTTGTTTTTCTGGATCCGGGCGTTGTTGGGAATAACTTCTTTTCACCATTTCTACACAAACTGTTTGTTTGGAGGGGAGCGGTGTCGGAGCCACGGTGTTTTGGGGAGCCGTGGTACTTATGTCAATGGTTTTCCTGGATTGGCAGCTCATTTTCACGTGGCCGCTGACCTTCCTTGAAAGCCGCTCTTCAACAGCGGAGAATATAAGTCGGAGGAGCGGTTGCAGGGCAGACGGTGGGTTTGAATTTACAAAGACCCCTTGTGTGTATTTTTCGTGCGGACGCTCGCGGAATACGTCTCATTCCAATTGACTTCGCGTGTCTGAAAAGGTGCAGAAGCGCCAACGCTCGATAGTTTGGCGTTGCCCCCGTAGTTTACCTTGTGTGGTGTCGTCCTTTCTCAGCAAAGAAATTAATGAGAATTTAATGAGCAGGGAGGAGAGGAATGGGAAAGGTGCAGGAGATGACCGAACCGGAGAGATCTCCTGCATTCGTCACGTCGGTGCCGGGTTGTTTCTTGTCCGGGACAAGGTCTGGGTGGGCAAACAGGCAGGGAAAATCCCCTGGGGACGGTCACAGCTCGGTGTTTTTACCACCCGTCTTGACGTGGTTGATGGTAGCGCAGGATTTTGTCGTCTCTCAGCGAGCGGGTTGGAAAAACTCTTCGGGCCGGCTGCCCAGAGCAGGTGTAGGCAGCTGGGGGCAATGAGGTTATGCCAGCAAGGAACGTGAGGAAAGCACCGCTGAGTTTGTACAACATCATGCTGGATTTTCTGAGCGACCGATATGTTTTATGATTCCCTCTCCTTTTTTATACTTTTTAGCGTTTTGCTTGTGTCGTTACTGCGGAAGCAAGTAGGTCAACATCTAGTATGCAAGTCCACATATTTTCTCTTTATATATTTGTATATACTTATCTATTTTGCTGTAATCGATCCTTTGAGGATGCATTTTGGAAGGTCTGGCCGTGCAGCGATTTGTGGAGCTGTCGGGAATCACAGATCCTGCTTTTTCCAGCTCCGTCCAGTGTCAAGGCGGGGAACGCTTCGGGAGATGCTTGCCTGATGATTGGGGTGAAAATCCAGCGGGAGCGCAAAGGTCGGGGTGTAGACACCCCGCCTGGGAAACTCAGTTTACAAATAAACTGTGAATAAACTTAGACCCAGCGAGAGTCTCATCGCTTTAGTGCCTCGGCTTATTCATTATCCAAATGGTGATAATATTTTTAAAAAAGAAGAGAAGGGGAGAAAGGACTCATGCTAGTTACAACTCCGGATTGAACTTGGTGCGGAGTAGAACGTCCTGGTGTTATCGAGCACAAAGTGGAAGCGCAGAAATTACTCTCCGTGTCAAACGAGGGGATGCTTGTGGCGATCCGGTTCTGGCATTGATTTTCAAAAAACGAGAACGAGCCCGAGCCCTACTTAAAATAGTCCTTTGAGACTATTAATACGGAGCCCACCGGCTCGTTTCTGACAGGCAAACAGAGGACGTGTGTGCTGTTGCCCCATTCTCTGCTTGACTAAACCAAATCTTGGAGCGCGGCCATCACTTCGGGGCGGCTGCTCGCAGCCCTCTGTCAACAGAAGGAGCGTGAGAAGCCCCAGGGTTTTTTTTTTGCTGCCTCGTTTTCGTACGTCGCCTTCTCAGCTCTCGCGCCGACACCGGGGGAAACTCGCCAGCGCGTCGACGTGGTTTCGGCAACGCGATTTGGCCGGGGCTCTCGCTGTGGTTTGCCGTGGAACGTTGCTTTGCGGAAAGGTGCTGCCACATTTCTGGAGCTGAGGTTTCTCCGTGTGCTTTTTTTAAGAACCCCGTGATTTGAGCTTAACAACAACAACAACAAAACCTCCCGATCCAGAACAATCTTGTGCCAAAACCCCAAATCGGAGTGGGGCGGGGGAGCAGGTTTTGTTTGTGCTTGAAGAGACTGATCCTTTCGAATAGGAGAAGGCTGACACTTGAGCACCTTTGCCCACTAGTTGCAGGCAGACATAACTCTTTCAGACAACGAGTCATCGTTTTGAAAAAGAACTGCCTAAATGTTGTGCGACGTGGTTGCTAAACACCGGGGTGAGCTGCTCGGGCAGTTTGGGGAACGATGGCTGCGTACGGGTGTCACGATTGCATCTGCAACCCCCTCGGGAGCTCGAGGTCTCCTGTTCGGTTTGGAACTTGCGTGTTTTTTTCCCTTCTGACCATGTCTTTGATCCTACAGCTACGTGGGGAACCTGTCGAGAGATGTGACCGAAGCTCTGATCCTCCAGCTGTTCAGCCAGATCGGACCGTGCAAAAACTGCAAAATGATTATGGATGTAAGAGCCTTCGCCCGACGGGTTTTGTGTTTCTCGGAGCATTGTGGAATTCCTCTGGAAATACAATTAAAGGGCTGTAATAAGGCTGGAGATTGCAGCCATGGCCACTATTTTTCAGGACAGGTGGATATCTCGAGAGGGAGCAAAGAGGTTAATTAATAAAAGCGGGTGCTGTAGATAAGTTTTGAAAAATTTTTCTTTGCCTTACTTTTACCTTTCTAAAGCCAAACTGAAGCCTTGCAGAGCCCTGTTAATGCGCTCACGGTGATCTCCGTGGAGGGTTAAAAAGCCTTTTGAGCCGTTTGGGGGTAATGAATGAGAAGCCGGGCAGAATAAGGTACAGTTGGAAGCGGTTGGTATCGGTTAACCCCGTGTTTGTTCCTTTCACCAGACAGCTGGAAACGACCCGTACTGTTTTGTGGA